GAAGCAATTACAATTATTCTTCTTAGATTGTTTAACTTGAAGGATTTTAACATCAAAATTACATATCTAAGAAAAGTCAGAAAAAAAATTTATACTTTCAAGAATATTTTTCACTTTGTTCCTCTTTAATCAAAAGGACACACAAGATCTTATAGGGTATATAATCTAGAAATCATTTGCAGAAGACCTGGCAATATACTGTTTCAGTCTATTGATCCATGTACCTGACAATCCCAGCACTCTGGCCTTGTGACACAGCATCAGTGTACTGCTGTTTAGCCGCCTCCTTAGATTTCACAACCCCATCGTATGCCTGGCCATCTATAAACCTGAAGACCGAGGACAAGCTTATATTAGTATAAATATTAATAATGACCCATGATTTATTTCATGATTAAACGTTTACATTTATTGTTAATGAATTAGTCATTATGTACACACATTCTGAATTTACTGATGAAGGCATTCTTGGGAATCCGGACTTGAAATTCTATTTCCTTTGACTCGTCCATTCGATTGGCCACACGGCTTGTGATGACTGTGGTTGCGTAACGACTGCTCACTGTTGAGTTGATGTGAAAGCTGTAGATGTCCCAGTCATCCTGAGCAAATACAGGAGGCCCATTTCACAATCAAGTAATTGGCTTGTTTAATCTCTCTGGCCGAGGACCAACTAACCAAAGATCAGATGATGATGTTAAGCAAAGGCAGACGGCATTGGTAAAATGTTATTGGTTTAAATGCTGAAACACCCAGTTCTTTTTTTCCATCCAGTAATTTCACATGGCACACTTCCTTTATCCCTTAGGTCTTACTTAATGATTAACATTATGGGGGAATTTTTATGTCTTTAAAAAGGGGGATTAGACCCCATAATGTGACTGTATAAACATATTCACACGCACACACACACAAACAAACCAACAGAAACACATTTTTGTAACTTATCTGAACTTTTAAATGTCAACTTTCAACAATTCCTTTTAGCATAGTTACCAAACCTTACTAAATGCCAAGTCAGAAACACACAAACATGAAGCAACACTCAAGTTATTGAGCCTGCAGGCATTTATCAGGACAAAGTTTAGTGTGATGTAACATACAGAAAAATAAGAACACCAAAGCCTCTGAAATGTATAAATTCATTGGTTGGATTGATTGTATAGTTTCTATGCAGCTCTTTTACACTAGGTAATATAAGTATCTTACCTTGTTTGGTAGTGTGGTTACCAAAGCCAGCAGCAGCCCAAAGAGGGTGACTTGCACCACAGCTCTTGCCATGATCGGGCTTACAAGAGTGTAAGCAAGACAGCTGAAATGGCCTTTTAAACTCAGATGGACAAGGACAGCATTCGTAAATATTTTTTTAAAGGTCAAGCTCTTCTCTTCTCTCTCTCACTGGTACACAGGATAAAAACACACCCACCCACAAAAACACACTCCCGCCCACGTGAACACATTGCATACTGCCGGGAATCACACACATAACTAACCAAAATTAACAAGTTCAGTGAAATAAATAAATGAATTCAATGCCATGGTGTCAAGCAAAAAAAAAGTTACTGCTACCTGATTCCAAAGCACGAGACGCTACCAAGGCCAGCCAGTCTGAGAGGTTTCCACTCCGAACAGCCACGTCAGGCTGACAGACAAGGAAAAATTACACTTTTGGGGAGAAATGCTGGATTCAGCTGCAGGACCACCCCTGACCCCTCTGGTGGGATCCTGCAGAGGTCCGCATGAATGGAGAAAAGCCTGAAGCTCTCCAATCCGCCTGGTGGTGGCCAGTGCCAGCAGTAGGGCAGACTTAAGGGATAACCACTTCAAGTCAACAGGATCCAGGGGCTCGAACGGAGTTCATTCCACAGCCTTTAGAACCAGCTCCAAGGCGAGAGAGAAGATCTACACTGATGGCCAATATGCCTTCTGGCCCCCTTGAGGAATTGGGAACAAGGTTGCCAACTTCCTCAGATAATTGGCATCCTCCTATACGGGCTGCCTTGATAGCCGCCACCATACCCCTTAGGGTGGAGGGTGACTTCACCGCATCCCTGAGCTTCTGCAAAAACCGCAGAATCTCCAGGGGTGAGCATGCCAGAGGATCTACCTGATGTTCCCTGTAACATGTCATAAAGACCCTCCACCTGTGACCATAGAGCGCTCTCGTTGCGCTTCAGAGTTTGGTCCACCGACTGTGACAGCCGTATGGCTAACAGCTCTTTTCCTCTCAAGGCATTGAACAGAGTCCTGTTTGGCAGCAAATCCTGCCGCACTGGAAGTTCCCAAGGAGTCCTGTCTAGCAGTGGCGGGACCATATCACGTGAGGCCAATTTGGAGCCACTAGGACAAGCCTATTTCCTCCATTCTCTCTCTCTGCAGGAGAGGTGGAAGGAGCATGAATGTGGGGAAAGCCTAAAGCAGGGCCTTTAGCCATGGGTGAGCAATGGCGTCCACTCCCAAAGGAGAACTGTCTTTCCCTAGCGAGAAGATCAGGGGACAGTGGGTGGATTCCTGCAATGCAAACAGATCGACTGCGGCTCGTCCAAAGTGGTGCCAGATACCTGCAACCAACTGAGGGTGTAGCCTCCAACCTCCTGGGTCTGAACCCCCCCTTTACGACAGCAGGAACACTTTGCAGCAGCAGGACACATGAACTGAGCACAGACCTACTATAAACACACAATGTTTCAATACGTGATAAATATAAAAAAATTAAATTCATTGTAAAATTCAAAAGCAAAAACTCTATTAATTATAAACATATATATACAAAATTATAATAATGGGCAAATTATATTTTTATATTAACCTGTTATCCTCTATGCCTCTAACACTGGGATATGGCCAAAGCCACAGCCGGTGTGCCAGTTTGCACAGGCGTGGGGAACACAGGCCACCCTGCCTGTTGATGTAGGCTGATGCGGTCACATCGTCTGTCCTCACCAGCACATGCTGACCTTGAAGATGTGGGAGGAAATGGTGAAGGGAAAGGTGGACCGCCTTTAGCTCCAGCATGTTGATGTGACTGCCACAACCTGTCAGCGAAGCATCTGTCTCCAGTAGCTGGTGATGTGTCACTGGGCCCAGTATGCTTCCCCTGCAAATATTCGCCCTGCTCTCCCACCAACGGAGGGCCAACCGCATCCGTCTGGTGACAAGCACAGTGGTATGCGGCTGTGGCTCAGTTGGTAGAGTTGTCATCTCTCAACGGGAAGGTCGACGGTTCGTTCCCCAGCTCCTGCAGCAACAGGTCCGATGTGTCCAATTGCTCCCGCTGCTTCGGTGGTGGCGTATGAATGTGTATGAATGGGATTAGTTACTTTTGATGGTCTCACTACATAGCAATCACTGCCATCAGTGTGTGAATGGGTGTGAATGAGTAGGTGTGAAATGTGGTGTAAAAGCGTTTTCAGTAGACTAGAAAAGCGCTAGCTCAAGTCCATTTACCATTATGCAGATGGCTTCCGGGGCTCAACCCTAGACCCAGGAGACACCTCTGCACTGGGCGCATATGCAAAAGGGCCAATCCTGGACCTATGATGCCATAAGCCCCAGGAGGCGGAGAGACAGTCCCCATGTGACCCTTGCCCCCAGTTTGAAATGTGAGAGACATCCCCTGAGGGCCACCTGTCTCTCCTGACTCAATCAAGTTGTGCAGTCTGGTAATCCGTTATGAGGCCCAGAAACTGCGTCCTTTGTGGTGGCTCCAGCCTGCTCTAATTCCAGTTGAGATGCAGGCCTAGATGCTGTAGGTGATCCAGGAGCAAGGACAAATGAGCCCGACATTGCTTCTCAATTAAACATGTGAACACCGTGTGCTGAACACTCAGCGCAATACATAATTAGACCAGTAGGTGTCAGTAACAGAGCATAGAATCTGAACACATTTCAAAATAAAACATATTCTGTGCATTGTGTCATCATGACTTCAAAATGGAAAACAATAGCTTCCCGCTTATCTCTACTAACTCACCAAGAAACTACCCAAAGCTCTCAAACTCTCAAATTTTACTGAGGGAGAGATAGATTCAACAGTAGAGAACTGATATTGATAACACTCATTCTTAAATGCTCTATGCAGCTCACTCACCCTTGACTATTGTTTTGTAGTCAAGGGTGAGTTTATTTGTGCTAGTTTATTTGTGCTAGTGTATAGTTATAGCAAATTATACATTTGTCTAATAGTTCAAATGTCACCCTTTAAGTCGGGGTGAAGAAAAGAGCGGGTTATCGCAATTACATTCTTGACAGCAAGAGAATTAAAGAAAAAGAAAAACATAGATGCTCCTAAATCTGAGCCTGTTTATTAGTGTATACTATAAGAAAGCAGAAAATCATCATGGTCCCCTGAAAAATAGTTTTTTAACAACCAAAGAATCTATTCAGTGAAATTTCTATTTACTATAAACATTAAGTCAAAGGTTAAGCATAAGCAGGGAGGAAGGGAAGAAATAGCCCAATAGCACAATCCGTTAGTCTAATTGTCCTGAAACTCCTCATGCACGCTCCTCTCCGCCTTGTATCTTTGCTGCCGTTCCACCTTGGATGCATGCCTTTTAGAACAATGACATATCTCTCAGAAATGTTTTTGAATCCTCAGGGTTTCTTCTGAAAACTGTTATGTTTCTCAGAGACTGAATTGAATATACTTTCTGTCTGTAACATGGCTATACAGAAGGTTGCCATTTTTTTCCCTACAGGTCTAAAGCACAACAATTCTTTACAGATGTAGTTGCTATGCTATTAAAGACTGTAGGGTTTCAAATATAAACTCGGATCATTAGCTTTGGTGACACCTTTGCATCATATCAGATATGTTATACTTTGATGTGCTGCTGACTATGTAACTCTAACTGCTGGTTGATCTACAAGCACTCTACAGTTCACACTTCTTGTAGTAAAGAAATTACAGTGTGTCGTACTATATGTGCCAGCCTGCCTATTAATACACACACAAATATTACCATAAATCATAACTCACAATAACCAGACAAATGTAGGCAAGTCTTTTGGGTAAATATTTATTCATTAAAGTCTTTCCAGACGACTAAGAATCTGGGACAAGTTTTGTCACTAAAAGGTGAAAAATATTTTTCCATGGTCTAACATGTTTTTTTTTATGAAATCCTTGTAAGAGATTAAATGCCTTTCCCAGTTAAATTTGTGTAACGATGAACTCATTTATGGGTCTCTGTAAGGCGAACTCAGAGGGCACAGACCAGCAATCCAGTGTCGGAGCAGAGGCGATACTGTAGTCAGCAGTTGTGGATCTTCAAATAAAAACATAAAAGATCTTATATTAGTGTATTAAAGCACTCTCAAATAAATCGTTTTGTTCATAATAACACAGAACAATGGTACTTTTCTTAATGTTGCCAAGTCCTGGGCTGGATGAATGTTGGGGCTTTCTGAATAATATAACAAAGAATATGTACTTGACATCCTCTTTTTCTAAAGTGTCTTGAGATAACATTTATAAATTGGAACAATGGAAATAAAATTGATTGATTGATCGATTTAAATATTGATTGATTGATTGATTGAACAAAACGTACCTGGTAGCAATGACCTCCATGTTTTGGATCTTGAGTATAGTTGAGGGGGTTTGCTGTACCTCTTCATAAACTGCTGGCTTTAGAGCTAAGGAAAATCAAAAAATAGCACAATATATTAGTGAATAATTATAACCTCAATAACAGCGAGTGAGTGCAAACATTGATTGAATATTTTATGTACCTGATATTAAATCATGCAAACAAATCCACCCACCTAAAATCCCTGTAACGTTGGTGTCCATTGGCTGTTGTCTTATAACAGGCCAGAGATAAAAGTTGCCTTCCTTCTCATGAATCAGGAAGACAATACGTGTGTCTCCACTTACAACATCTATTTCTTTGGCCCGCCTGATCACTGTCACACTAGAAAAGAAAGCACAGATCTTACATTTCTTGTGGATTTGCGCCCCTGCTCTTGTTTGGGCCAATTAATGGTGTGTGCAGAAATGTTAATGTAAACATCAGTTATTAAGTGTAATCTACCTTAGTGATGACCATTTTAAAACTATAATTATTAGTAAAGCTACAGCCAGCGGCATAAAGACTGGAAACAGGTGGAAACATCATTCTGAGCACTGTTCAATAGTGACAGAGCTCATTTTGTAGCTCATAAAAGTTTTCCTTTAAGACCAATTGGTGACATCATGGGGGGCTACATTTCTTATTTAAACACGCTATTGTGCAAATTCAACAAAGTACTATTTATTTCTCTTTTGATCCTCTCCTCTACAAGTCACAGCAACGTCTCAATGAAGTTACAGTTTTCCTTTAAGATTTGCTCTGATTTGATCTTAAAACCTGTCTGTGCACACAGACAAAGCAGTAACCCTTATGTATTATCATCTATGCAGGTCAGAAAGTCTGTTTGATCATGGTGTAATCATAACTGAGATTATAATACAAAGTCACCTATTACGAGAAACAACTATATCCTGTTGAAGGTACTCTACTGTGGACTGTCCATCTTGTACAATGGTTTTCACGGCATCAAACTCAAAGTGTGCAGCAGCTGTATGTATGGCAATCCTTTTGAATCCTCCAAGCAATAGCTCACCATTCACAAACAGCGCTAAAGCAAAAGAGAACAACAATGTAACTCAACATTATAATCAAAACAAGCAGAGGTGGAAGAAAAGATATTTTGGACTTGGATAGAGTCAGATGGGACGTGTACACTAACCACTAGGCTAACGTCGCCCCTGTGAGGGGACTTAAAGTAATACTGATGCCTCTGTATGACAAAAGCAAACAAGACCATCAGAAAACAAAACTGAGTATTCCTATATTTGCTTTTTCTGACAATTAAGTTTAATATAGTAAAAGTATGAAGATGCTGAAAGTACACATAATTTATAACTGCTGCAAGGATACTGAGGAGAGGCAAGAGAAGAAAATTCTGCTATTACAAAGGTTGTAAACAAAGGGTTGAAATATCAAAGGTTTATTAACCAGACTGTTTTTGAGGCTTTCTAACAATTTTCACAAAGAGAAAAATGACTGACCTTTATTGGGATGGTGAAGAAGTTTAAGGCTGACAACTCCATAGACACCATAACAAAGTGGGAGAGACAGGCTCTCAGTTTTAAGCAAAAACTGGTGGACAAGCTGTCCAGGTAAGATAGAAGGATGTAAATCATTGTAGACAACACTGGACACTGAGGAACCTCGAGATAAAGAGAGCAACATAGTCATACAGTAAAGCCACAGGAAACACTGAAAACAAACATCAAACAGCATCAAAACTAGCTCCCCGTACTCTGACAATACAAAAAAGGTTTTAAAAAAAAATACATGCCGTGCTTAAATGGTTTAAATAAATTTGACAAATTTTCCATTGAGAATTTCTCCATTAAAAGATTAAAAACTATCTTTGGCCACTGATGAAAAGACATTCTTAACTGAAAACTTTTATTAAACATCTTTGTTAAGAGTTCACTGGAAAATCTGTTTCTGTCATAAGATACTTCGCACTTTCACTCACATATCAACAGCAGTTTTCAAGTTGCATCTGAGGTAAATTGGATCACTAATGCAAACAAAATGTATGAGATTTAAGTATTTGTTGTTCAAGTATTTGTTTATCTGATGCACTCTGTGAGCCGTGGTTTGTAATTCTCAGGCAGTAATGGTAAACTGAACATAAGATTATGTACCAAAGTTAGGATGTTTGGAAACATCTGGCTAAAATTGTGCAGAGTGTAAATGTAGTTGTTTGAGTGGTCTATTGTTTGCATCTAACATGTTGCAATAACAGGCAACTTCAAATATGTAGTGATGACGCCATGAGCTGGATGGGCTACGATAACTTTGGCTGGACAGTAGGGGCGGATACAAGTGGAGGGCAGGGTGGCCAGGGCCCCAACAGGCTGCGAGGATAGTGTTTAAAAATACAAAGGTTTGAAAATTGTGATGAACTGGAACTGATAATCAAAGCCTCTTTTGTTATTGATCTTTGTTTGTTTTTTTTAAATCAATGACAGCACAATTTAAATAGGAACATGAATGACATCTATTTAATATTCCACTGTACCTATAGTTGTTCCCATAGTAGCAGTTGGTGGCCCATATGTAGCATGAATTTCTTCTTCTTCTAGTTCAACAGGAAAATCTGCTCACACAAAATAGTTACACTTTAAGCAAGTAAAATGGGATTTTATGACAAATCTTAATAATAATCAAAGCCTCTTTTGTTATTGATCTTTGTTTGTTTTTTTTAAATCAATGACAGCACAATATGAATAGGAACATGAATGACATCTATTTAATATTCCACTGTACCTATAGTTGTTCCCATAGTAGCAGTTTGTGGCACATATGTAGCATGAATTTCTTCACTTTCTTCTTCTGCTTCAAGAAAATCTGCTCACACAAAATAGTTACACTTTAAGCAAGTAAAATGGGATTTTATGTCAAATCTTAAAAAGATTTCAGGTGTTTTTCCAAACTGCTTTTAAAGTGGTCCATTTAGAAAAAAAAATGTAAGGATCTTTTGTTTTATAGTTCTCAAACTGAAATGCACAAATTTTTACAGCCTTCTCAGCAAAACAATTTGCACATGTAAATCTATACATCTCATTTTTTGAGTCTGGTCGAAAAAACAGGATGTTTGGTGAAGGGAAGCTGACATTAGAGTGTTCTTCATAACATCTCGGTGTTCTGCCCTGTAAGTTTTTCTTTGAGCGAAGTCTGTGTAATCATCTGAAACTGGAAAATGAGATTTTTTGTCTTGCATGTAAATTTTATTTAAAGGTCCCATATTATGCTTTTTCTGGTTTTATATGCCCTTTAGTGTGTTTTCCAAGTGTCCTGTGCATGTTTAGGCACATCTATGTGCAAAAATGCAAAGTCTGCGGAAACGCGGCTTCTCCTGCGTCCTCCTGTTAGCTGTAGCATTAGCTGCATGTAACGCTCGGTTCTAGCCCCCCTCGAAAAAAATGTGTCAGTCCGACGTCATTGTCAGTGTGAGATCACTGATCTAAGCACATTGGCTCGTTGTGGCAAGCCCTGCAGCTCATGTTGCACGCCCGTTAACTTCTGTAGCACGCCCACAATATGCCGTAGCCTGCGGTAGCACAGTAGTGCTAAATTGCTAATGTTTATGCTCCCCTCAGACAGAGCCAGTGGCTGCATTCCCAATATGTTAAAAGAGGCGGGACATTTCTGAGAACTGTGCTGAGCGACTGACCAATAACGACAGAGCGGATCGGCAGACCAATCAGAGCAGACTTGGCCCACGTGGGGTCTAACAGTGTGGGCTCAGCAGAGTGTAGAGGGAGCAAGGAGGAGCAGTACATGAAAACAGACATGTTTTTTGGACTTTACCTATTGTGAACGTACAAAAGTAGGTACATAGATTAAATATACGAATCCCAAAAAGGGCATAATATGGGCTCTTTAAAACAAATATTTGTTGATGCTTTGTTCTAACAATATAGAAATACCAATTTCAAGTGACTGCAGTCTTTCCTTACATCAGTCCCATGTGAGTTGGATTCAAAGGGGACAACAAGGGATGTTTTTACTTTCCTTTTTTTTTCAGACTCTTTTCATGCCAAGAATTATGACGTCTGAACTTGTAATTGGCACAGATTGTTAAGAAGCATTTTGGGTGAAAGTCTAAAACTCGCCTTGCTACACAGAATGAAAACAACGTTTGTACTGACATGATTCAAAGAATAAAATTATTAATTACAGGCTTTTAAATGAATAATCACATTGTGAGAATTATTGCATGACAGGTAGACTTACTGCATTAGCCTATTTTTTATTTCTAACTTCCTATGACTTTATGACATTTTCACTGTTCTCTTTTTTCCTACTTTTCATCTTTATTAAGATTTAATAATAATTCAACACAAGAAAGGAGCTGTAAGAGTCATAAACAAAGCTGGTTACTATGATTCTACTAATCCATTGTTCATAAGGTCTTCTACCCTTAAATTTGTAGATATCGTGTATTTAAAAACATTAACAATACTTCATCCATCTAATAACAAAAGTCTTCCTGTTGTTATTCAACATTTTTTTAAATTACGGGAAGGCAATTATAATTTAAGACGGTCATGTGTGTTTGTAACATGCAAAGCGAGAATCAACATAAAATACATAGATGCGCCTCAGTTTGGGGAGTCAAATTATGGAACAGCCTTAGTGATGAGTTGAAATTGTTTAGTTCTCTGTTGAGTTTTTAAAAAACTTAAAATGCAAATTAATTCATGATTACAACATGAAATTATGAATAATTAAGAAATACTTTAGAGTTTATCTGCTTTTGTTTTTGTTTTATTTTTGTTGGATTGTTTATGTTCTGACTTATATGAAGGATTTTTACAGGATAGGCAGAAATAAACCTTGGGCTTCAGCCTATTCCTGTTTTGGTCATTGATTTATTTGAATTTTAATGTGTGAAATAGACAAGTTTAAGCATGCGAAGTTTTTTGTTTCTGTTTCTGTAAGTTGACTATTTACATAAATATTTTTAACTCTTGATATTCTTTAATGAATGACCAAAATAAAAAAAACATTCATTCATTCATTCAATTCATAAACTTCTTCAATCTGATTAGTTGATTAGCTTCAGTTTGACAACATAATCTGAACTAAAAGCCAATTAAATTTGTGGGAATGAGTTTCCTTTTTACAAAACGGTGGCATATGATCAGTGACATGTGTAAAATGTTAAAAGGACTTGAACTTGTGTAGCGTTTTTCTAGTCTTGTGACTGCTCAATACACTTTTTACAGCTCAGGTCACATTCACCTATTCACACCACATTTACACACTGAGGGCAGAGACTTCAGGGTGTATTAACTAATCTCACAGTGGGCACAATGGGGTTAGGTGTCTTGTCCAAGGACACTTTGAAATTTGACTGCAGGAGCTGGGGATTGACCCCCTGACCTTCCTGTTGAGAGATGACTGACTCTACCGCTGAGCCAAAGCTACCCCATATAAACATCATGTTCTTTTTGATCTTTTCAATATGTCATTAACAATAATCCTCCTCAGCTAGCATGTGTGTGTATGTGGAGAGGAAGGTTGGTAAGGTAATCAGATTTTAGATACAGTTTCAGGGAATAAAGGGAGCATTTAAGTGAACACTTAATTAAGAGAAGAATAGAGTACAATTACATTATAAAGGTAGACATAACCAATTGTAAATAGTGTTTAAATTTGCGATTGAATAATCACAAAGCCTATCATTAGATTTTTTTATTTGCTAAAAAGAACTTGTTATCAAATATTTAATTGAAAACTGTGAATTAATAATAAATTATTTAATGAAGTGTTTATTAATTGTCGATTAGTTAAGTCACATAATTTATTTTGTTGAAATCCACACGTACATTTGAAATTATATCTATACAATTAATTTACTGTTTTGCACTGTGTTTGCTGTTCTGTTCACATTTGTGTTACTCACCATCATAAGCCATGACAATATCACTTGCACTAGGCATGAGTCCGTATTGCCTCACATTAGAGGTTGGGGTCTGAGGTGCTTCACCTTCCTTGGGTTTATGGAGCACATCTGAGCTCTCCCCAGGAGGCTTGGTGACCACCATGGATGTGAGTGGGGTCACAAAGCTGTATTTCAGCGACAGCTCCAAGGCCTCTTTCTTAGCGCTCTCCTTCTCAGGTCCAGATAACCGCAGTCTGTGGCACAAGTTGTGTATGTTTGAAATTAAGAAGAAGAAGAAAAATGCTGGGGGTTTCCAGTCACCAGTATCGTTTTACCACCCAGAACACCCAACATATACCTGTTTTTTTTTAACATTTTACAAACACTGTATTCCACTTCCACATCCAGTGAAAAGGTTTTTCTAGGTTTTGCTTTTGTATGCAAAGCTCTTGCATTTAAGTCGCTGAACAGTCAGTTGCCCTGCAAGGTGTGAAATAGCCATAAGCCTGCAGGCTACTACATATCTGGTAAATTCTGTAAGGGACAGTAACGATATTTGCCACCAAATTAAAGTTGTCAACCGTGTATATCTACTTTTGTTTGGCTTCTATGGCTAAAGTGTAAGACCTATTTTTAAAATTACACTTTAAACTTTGGAATTGTAAATCTTCTTACCTGTCCTGTGAAGACAAAAGGCTTGACCGACTAGTAAACAGTCCCAAGGGCTTAGGTAATGGTTGAATGAGTGACAGCTAATTAATAGGATGATGTTTCAGTACTTTCTTTTTTCAATTTCATTACATTATATTATGTAGAAAACAGAGTTTGCATTTAATTAATCAAATCAAACTATGAGGGGTTGTAGCCCTCCAAAAAAACAGTTGTTGGAAATAATGGATAAATGATATTTATAAAAGATGTTGGACATCACACTCACTCTTTCTCTAGAAGCTGTTTCACTGTGAGGTAGGCCCAAACTCTCTGGATGTTACTGTCAGACACATCGGCTGACTCCACTGTAACATTTGTTCCAGGAAACACCACCTTTCTATTTCTCTGCTATTGAACAAATACATTCAGATGTCAGTTATTTTTACATTTTACATAGTGCTAAGAAATTGAAAGCTCATGTGAGTGTGGATTTGTCCTTACCGAAACGGCCACAACTTGTGGAGTGAAGGTTCCGATGTCGTTGTCAGTGATCTGACCTGCCACAACAATCTCAGAGCCATTATAATACTGGCTGAAGTTAGTCTGGGTTAGATTAATCCCACCCTCATAAACCATTGTCACATCTGTTAACAAAGGAGTTGCCACCTCTTCATAGAAACCCTGTTGACATACAGTTTGGACTCTGGTTTAATGTCTAGTTTTGCCACAGCAGAGTAAGAGCAGTTTTTCCATTGAAATGTAACAAATATTTATAGTGTTTGGGATTTAATTGACCTTGAGTTGTAACTCAGCATCAGAGTCTTCATAAATCCGTCGAGCCACACCGTTGTTCTGCAGTGACATCTTTTCAAGGAACTCAAAATTGACATCAAAACCAAAACCGAGGCAGTAGAGAGGGAATTCACCTGCAATAGCCTTTCTTACATTTGACTGAATTACTTCCAGATTTGTCACCCCTGCAGACAGAAGACCAATATGAAGTTTGACGATTAAAACTGAACTCAATTTCCCTTCGACAGTAAAATCAAACCACTAATCTGTGATGAGCTCATAATGGTGTCATCACAGAATGCAGTTGTTATTATGAACATCACACTGTAATAAACACAAGTCACACAAGTATGGAGTTTAGCCAGCAGAAAGAAGATGTCAAGCCATTGATTGTCATCTTAAAAATGTAAGATAGTATTTTTAGAACGCTCTTAATGCAATGCATATATCTGACATGCATGTTTTTTTTATTATAACCTGAGGTTGGGTCTCCATCTGTGAGCAGTATGAGAATAGATGCTGAGCCTTCTCTGGGATTTGCATTCAGCATTCGTGCTCCTTCTAAAACTGCTTGGTTAATGTCCGTGGCTGAAATAGAACGACAACAAAAATGCTTTAACGCTAACATTCTGCTGTCAAATGTGACTGTTTCATAAAAAAGTATTTTCCCTACAAAAAAAACCTCACCTCCTCTATCTTGAATCTGCAGTGCAAAGGTTTTGGCACTAGCCAGGTTTTCTTCCGTAGCCTGAACAAGTTCTCGTTTCCAGTGAAAAAGGGAGCTATCAAAAGTGATCAGACCAAAGTGGTCTTCTTCTGCCAGGTCATTCAAGATACGAATCAATGCAGTTCGGGTCTGGTTAAAAACAACATTCAAACATTACAGCTTTTGTTCATCTCAGAAGATTTTTATTTGTAGTCGGTATATTAAATGCCACAGGCTGAAAATTAAAAAATGCCTCAAAGTTCTTGTAATTTGTCACAAAATCACACTCTCATAAACTGTACCTGTTGTATTTTTCTGCCATACATTGAGCCACTTTGATCAATAACGAAGGCCACATTTTTTGGTATTCGGGCGAGATTAGATGGAGCAAAGTGATGAACGAAGTACCCTGATGATTTCTAAGGAAGAGTAAGATGAAATTCCGGCTGGTTAGAAAAGATTGTTGGTAAAGCAAAGGCAAAACTGCCATACATATGAGATGCTGCGAACAGTTTCATTAAAAGTCTAAATTCTTCAAAAAAAAAGATAGGACTCTTGCTGTACCTTGATGTCTCCAAATGAGTTGTCCCTGTTGACGTCATAAACAATAACCAGATCTCCATTCATACCTTGCTCTCCACAGTGGTCACACGTCTTTTGTTGGTCCTCAGTTGGGTAGAAATACACCCATGCCTGGTAACAGGAAAATTCAGATTTATACACCCTTGACAGGCTGAGAAATAGGCCAGAATAAATGTCAAATACCATCAGAAAACCATTGGGGGAAATGGGTTGAACAAAGATCAGACTACTACCTGTGTGTCTGAATGTGTTTTGGTGATGGCATTAGCCATGGCATTGGTGCTTAGTCCACCTTTAACCTCCATGATATTGATTCCAGCTTTCTCATGTATGTACACGTCAACCTGATTTAGAGAAATAAATGAAATAGTTATGGAGATGTTATCACTCAAGTATTGTTTTCCTGGTTCATCCATGAATAAAATACCAACAGAATGTTCAAACCTTGAAGTCTTTTACAGGCTGCATTGGTCGGGCGTGGATTTGCAGCTCGTACTTGCCCAGTTTGCGTTTCAGTAGTTCCTCATATGTAAGTTCAAAAGTGACCTTTTTGTGAGCTGCTACATTCACAGAGGTCTTGAATTCTTCGAGAGTCCTCCCTACAGAACTTTTACAGAGAGGATTATCATGGCATTAAAGCAGTGGGTCCCTTAAATTAAAACAGTTCGTACATCTGACCCTTCATCAGGAGTAAAGCAAATGGAAGCAATTACAATTATTCTTCTTAGATTGTTTAACTTGAAGGATTTTAACATCAAAATTACATATCTAAGAAAAGTCAGAAAAAGAACATTTTTTTATACTTCCAAGAATATTTTTCACTTTGTTCCTCTTTAATCAAAAGGACACACAAGATCTTATAGGGTATATAATCTAGAAATCATTTGCAGAAGACCTGGCAATATACTGTTTCAGTCTATTGATCCATGTACCTGACAATCCCAGCACTCTGGCCTTGTGACACAGCATCAGTGTACTGCTGTTTAGCCGCCTCCTTAGATTTCACAACCCCATCGTATGCCTGGCCATCTATAAACCTAAAGACCGAGGACAAGCTTATATTAGTATAAATATTAATAATGACCCATGATTTATTTCATGATTAAATGTTTACATTTATTGTTAATGAATTAGTCATTATGTACACACATTCTGAATTTACTGATGAAGGCATTCTTGGGAATCCGGACTTGAAATTCTATTTCCTTTGACTCGTCCATTCGATTGGCCACACGGCTTGTGATGACTGTGGTTGCGTAACGACTGCTCACTGTTGAGTTGATGTGAAAGCTGTAGATGTCCCAGTCATCCTGAGCAAATACAGGAGGCCCATTTCACAATCAAGTAATTGGCTTGTTTAATCTCTCTGGCCGAGGACCAACTAACCAAAGATCAGATGATGATGTTAAGCAAAGGCAGACGGCATTGGTAAAATGTTATTGGTTTAAATGCTGAAACACCCAGTTCTTTTTTTCCATCCAGTAATTTCACATGGCACACTTCCTTTATCCCTTAGGTCTTACTTAATGATTAACATTATGGGGGAATTTTTATGTCTTTAAAAAGGGGGATTAGACCCCATAATGTGACTGTATAAACGTATTCACACACACACACACAAACAAACCAACAGAAACACATTTTTGTAACTTATCTGAACTTTTAAATGTCAACTTTCAACAATTCCTTTTAGCATAGTTACCAAACCTTACTAAATGCCAAGTCAGAAACACACAAACATGAAGCAACACTCAAGTTATTGAGCCTGCAGGCATTTATCAGTACAAAGTTTAGTGTGATGTAACATACAGAAAAATAAGAACACCAAAGCCTCTGAAATGTATAAATTCATTGGTTGGATTGATTGTATAGTTTCTATGCAGCTCTTTTACACTAGGTAATATAAGTATCTTACCTTGTTTGGTAGTGTGGTTACCAAAGCCAGCAGCAGCCCAAAGAGGGTGACTTGCACCACAGCTCTTGCCATGATGGGGCTTACAAGAGTGTAAGCAAGACAGCTGAAATGGCCTTTTAAACTCTGACGGACAAGGACAGCATGTGTAAATATTTTTTTAAAGGATAAACTCTTTTTTTCTCTCTCTCTCACTGGTACACAGGATAAAAACACACCCACCCACAGAAACACACTCCCAACCCACGTGAACACACCGCATACTGCCGGGAATCACACACATAACTAACCAAAATTGTCATATTTAACGCAAATCTCACTGCCAATGAGAGCTTTGCCATTAACATTGACGGTCCAGTGAACTCATTGCATGGACTTTGACATCAAATTTAAGTCTTTATGCAAAAAAAGACAGCATTCGAAGGAAAGTTACATGTTCAGTGAAATAAATAAATGAATAAAATGCTGTGGTGTCAAGCAAAAAATTAATTTATTATTTCTTACTTCAAGTATGTACAGCTTTTGTGAGAGTAGGCCTACACCATTCTGATAGGGTCGGGAAATGGCTGAGAACAGGCGATACAGCAGGCAAAAGCAATCAACTACCAGGCTTTCGTTGCAAGCACTAAAGAGATCAAAGACAAGAGTTGTGAAAAGCACAATAAAAATAGCTGAATAGAAGATGAATATCAGGGAAATAAATGTAAATGTCATCATGGAAAGACTTCTGCCTTTAAAACGATGGAGTGGAATCAAAAGATTGTCGCATTTGTGCAAACATGGAAGTGTTTAAAGAGGGGGAATCTATTGATTATACACTCAAAATTGTTTCTCTTACTCAAGCAGAGTTATTTAGCTGGTCTTACCTTTTTGCTTTTGTTAATTGTCTTCTGTGGCTCTGGAAGGAGCTTTCAAAATAGAAAAAAATGTCCTTACTGAATAATGCATCTAGCTTCCAAGCTTCTCTGCTCAGGATATATTGGCCTCTGCTGAATCATTTTTTTTAATCTGTCTCTTGTGAAATTGCCGGATTAACCCTTAAACATATGAGTTAGGAAACTAATCCCTCTACTATAGCTTTCTCAGTTTAAAGACTCGACTAAATAGATTTTTGCCATTGCTTGGTTTTGAAAATACATACAACACTGATGCATTAATCAAACTATTCTTTAGAGGGAGTTATACAAGTTTTAAAGAGAAGTACGTATCGAGTGTGTTAATTCTGAGGCCATACTGCTGACATAACTTAAAACAGTGGTAGCACAATATTTCTTGGACATATTTGGATTAAGTCAGCCATTTTACATACAATAAGCAGTAAGTGATAGATGACGCTGTGTAGCCAGTATCTAACAAACAAAATTTAGAAAATCTACGCGTTGTACAAATAACAGTTGTGGCTTCTCAACAATTCACATTCTTCACGTGTCCTCTTACATCCCCATATCATTTATCAAACAACAACCAACCTCACAGTAATCTCTTAAAAACCACAAAGGCAACAATATGTAAAGCTACAGATTGCATTAGAAGAGGTATGGTATGATTATGATTTTGACTCCTATGTTGAGTACTTAAGCCCTCCTTGTTGTTTGGTTCCATTGCCAGTTTCTCTAAACAGTTTCCTCCTCTAACACACCACATCAACCTGAGCACATTCAGAATATCAGTGTATTCATGCAGGCGGTGGTGTAGGTGTTCTTTACAATCTGTGATATCTCGTGAACTTCAACACCACCAGATTATAGTTTGATAATGTTTTGTTGCTAAATCAAATACGTTTCAGTCCACATTCATTATTCAAATCAAATTATTTACCATTGAAGGTGAATGCATATACAGAATATCTAGTTTCTGCTTTGAATGTAGATGCTTTTCTTCATAAAATTGAAACTGATATTCAAGGCACTCTCACAGGTGTTCTTTCACCTGCAGATAAAGTTCAAGTTCATTTAAATCTCTTAAGGAATATTTCAAGCGCTTGTGCTGGAAGCATTCATTGATGAAGAATGAAACCTTTCCCCTGACAGAGAGCAGAATACAGCAGCTGGTCCTAGTGACCAGGATGTCAAGTCCTCACAGTGACGGCATGATGGTGGCTAATAAGGTGTTGCACTAAGACACATATCTGCAGCACCAACTTATAGATTATCTAATGTTATCTGTACAAACACAGGCGCTCCTATATACAGACTGACAGGAGTTATTATATACAGATGGCAGCTTATATATGTGGGGTGATATGAGCAACACAAACATTAACTACTTTTATAAACACAGCATAAATAACAATACAATATGTACATTCAATGTGTAAGGTACATACATAAGCAATGACAAAAATCTGCACTTTTAAACCAAATTGGCTAAGTATGCATCATTTAATGTACTACCACCTTTACACTGCACTCAAGGATTTTGTACTGTAACATGGACATGAGGTATGTTGCTGCAAATGAAACAAAAATTACACATTACTCATGACTGGAGACAAATATGTACATATGGTTGAATTCATGCTGGTTAAATATACACAGCATATGCACATACGATTGACTAGACCTATAATGAGATTTCTTTTTGGTAAAAGAATTGGAAGACACAATGCTACTCAAATTAGAGAGTCCTGGCTTTGGGGTCAGGTGGCTGATATGATGGAGCTGGAGTGGTGCTTGGGGTGTCCTGGGCTGAGGGCAAAGCAGGAAAGGCAAAAACTCCTGAAGGAAGTGGGGAGAGAAACCCAGGCCACTGGCCAACGGACACATGTGAGGACAGTGCCCTGAAAGGAGGGGCCAATGGCAGCTGATCACATGGATGGGGCCCTGAAGAGGGGCAGGTCTTCATTGTTGACCCTGGACTGTCCAGCCATGACAGGGGAAGACTGCAGGCCTCTCGATCAGCGACTGTCCATGATGTGGCCTAAGAGGTTTACAGTAGATGTTTGAGTAAACAACAATGCATAAAAACATAAAAATATAGCTGGAAGCATTTCAAGCGGCCCATTATAAACTTTGAAATGTAAGTCTTTTTTTTATTTAATTCAATGGAACAGCTATAACTGTAAAAGAAAGGGTCCCTGAAAGTTAAAATTATCTTTAAAATAATAGCGTTGGTTGCATGATGTGATTTATTTTAGCTAGTTCAAGTGCAGTTATTTAGGTTTCTAGTGACAGGGGCATCACTTAGAAACAAAAGAGTAAGGGCTGAGAAAGCTGGTGATGACAAACGTGGGAATCCTCCTTGGAGCAGGCCTACTTATTTAAATTGAACCTGAACGTTCTCATAGTGCGTAGAAGCTATTTTTATTTCTATACATGGTTAATTTTTACTGTGTTTGTTATTTAATTTTGTGTGAGCCCTCCACAGGTGGTGAGAGCACTAGTGTATAAGTTGCTGTGCATAGCACACCTGGGCGGAAGGAGGATGAAAGCGCATATTGTCATTGCAACATCAGAAGAGTAATGTTAATGATAGGCATTTGCATTAAAAGGTTTAAGAACATTCCAGTCATATTTTCAAATGTAGCTATAGTTCTTGTTGCAGTATACCACAAGCAACTTTAACCTCCAACTCTCACTGGGATAGTCTGTGGGTGTGATGAACTGTACTTGTACTTTCCCTGTGGGAAAGTCACAAGGACAGTTACAGGATGGACCTAATCTTTTTTGTTTTTGCCACTTCATAAAATCCTAGTTGCCTCTGACAGTTTAACTCCACAGCTAATGTTAAGACTTAACCTTCATCAGAGGAAAAAGGCAGCCATGTGAATATGGTTATTACAATGTAGAACTACTGTTTGACCAACAGCACACTAAAACTTTTCTGTTTTTGAAAAGCTTTTGGGTATCTACTTTGTATATGTGTATGAGGTTCTTTACAGTCATTTGAGGGAAGGTTCTGTTTTGGTATCAACTTCCCCCCCTTAAGGCCTTAGCTAACCATTTAGCAAGTAAGCAAGCCACACACTGCACCTCTTTAATGAACTAAGTGCTAACAAAAACTGCTAAGAGTTAAACCATCTTTTAAATGACCACAGGGTGGAACCCAAATTGATTCATGATAGGCATTAAAAACTCACATATCTAGCACTAGCCAGTTGCTCTTGTGTTCGAGGCACAACATGATCCCAAAGCTGCTGCCCGCTGATGCTCAGAGAGTCAGTGCCTGGCCTGTGGGTGACAATCAGGACCTCCTGGGCCCAGTCCTCCATCAGCCGCTGCAAGTCCTCAGGCAGGTTGTTCTCATTTGCACACATGGGATAACCAGTGTATGTGGCTGTTTTGTTGTTGCTGTTATTGGCCTGAGCCTGAGCCAGTCCCATCACTGGCTGATGAGAAGGAGGAGTGGCACCCATAGGCGGTTGCTGTGATTGATTAGAAGCCCCCGAGCTGGCTCCAGACCCTGAGAGGATACAAAGACACACGCTACACAACTGATACGACTGGTATTAACTTAAATGATTGATTTAATTAATTTTCCTGAGTGGTGTAGATTTACATACTGCCACGCTCTTTGCCAAGACACAGTCGCTTCAGCGTTGTCCCTGCAAGACAAAACATTTTTTTTTAAACGAAAAGTCATTCCCATTAGCTGGTTATAATGTTTAATAACAGGATGCAATGCAAAGCAAAGCTGCTGAAGACTGCCACAACATAAAGGACCAAACTAAAAGCTAAGGTGCACAATGCAATCACTCCCCTGAAACAAGGCAGAACATTTATTAGCAAACACATGCAGATGATCCAGGTGAGGACCAAAGTTCAGAGTCAGACAAAAGAAGGCAGAGAAGAGAGAGGGAGAGATAGAGAGAGAGAGTGTTAGAAAGAAAGAAGTTAAGAAAAGGATCAGAGATTAGAATAGAAATCAGATTGAGCTGCATGTGACATGCAAAAGGCAACTGCTTAGAAATGCTTAGTGGATAAGTCACAAAAATATGTATGTATGTAAACCTGCCATGTGAGATGATGTCCATTCATGTTTATATTATGAACCTTGATTATCCAAACCTCAAACCACTGAAACGAGGCAAACTTTCCAATGAAAACAAATGTTTTACTAACTGAAAATTGAGTAGGGCACAATTTGGTGTGTGAAAGAAGATGTATTTAAAATTATATCAAAAATACTT